GATGGGAATTGATTTGTTAGGGGATCAAAAAAGAGAGTCAACACCAGAAAGACAAGTAGCATGAGATGAACACTATTTGGAAAAAAATGATAATATGATAGAGACTGACTTGGGGTTTAGACAATATAAATAGCATAATATGAGAAGAACTCATCCATTAAAGAAATGATTTATGAACTGAGACTTGATAAACAGTAACTGGTCAAGTGTGTATCATATGATATAGGGAAGCCAATAGGGTATATCCTAGAATGAGTTCAAACACCTGAAAACCAGGAGTCCCAATGTCCAAGAGCAGAAGATGTTCCAGTTCAAACACAGTTTTTGAATTCACCCTTCTTCCATCTTTTTTTTTTTTAAACTTTTTGGGCTCTCTGCATTAGATAATGCTTGCCCACATTGGTGAGGGTGATCTTTACTCAGTTGACTGATTCAAATGCTAATCTTTTCCAGAAACATTCTCACAGACACATATAGATAATGATTTACGAGCTATCTGGGCATAACTTAGCCCAATCAATTTGACATATTAACTCTTCTGTTTTTGTTATACACCAAATCCAGGTATATGTTTTAAATCCAATTAGTATTTCAAAACTATTTCAATAGGCTGCTATACCTTGCCTCATCCCTAATTAGTATATTTCATACTTTCATCAAGGATCAATATCACACTCTGGATAACTCTGAAATAAGCACTTGATAAATCCAGATAAAATCTATATTAACTAATGCTTTACAATATGAATTATGTAATGCATGTACAGCTCTCTTCTTTTGACTTTAGACTAATACTATTTCATATGTTTTTATTATGTATTTAGTGATTCATGGTGCAAACCTAAAGAAAATGCTTTAAGAGTTGTTTAAAAACCTACAGTCTCTGTGGTATTGACAGGATATGACTTCACTAATGTAATTAATTAACAAGTTACAATAAACTTCTGTTCTCATCCTCAGGTTCTGTATTACATAAAGATAATTTAAAAACAGGTTAGACTCAGAATGTTATATGAGCAGTTTTACCCACCTATTCACAGTTCATAATATATTAAATGATGTTTTTCTTTGAGATCTTTTAAAACCAAATTATGTTTGTTGGTCCATGTTTAGTTATGGGAAAACTAATCTTAAACTAGAATTTATAAATTCATTAAAAGACAATAATATAAAGTAATTTGAAAAGGATAAAAACCAATTGAAACCTATAGAAAGAATCAATAGATATTTACAGATTGTTTAAAGTTATACAAAACTACAAGTATTTTTGAATACAAAATACAACTTTATCTGCTATCATTTTATCAGTAATGTCTCACATTTAAACAAAACTGATTCAGTCTCTTGTCTTAAATCTCTGTAAATAAGAGAAAAAATATGTGTTCTGAATTTTATTAGAGCTAGCAGAGATAAAAGCAGGGTCTGGAGTGTGGCTCAGGGGTAGAGCACTTGCCTACCATGTACAAGGCTGGGGGTTCAATCCTTAGCACCACACCAAAATAAACAAACAAACAAAAAAAGAAATAAGTATCATAAAGCTGACTCTTTCATAAACTATGAATAATACTGAATATATTCACTGTCTCTATGGTCTCGGGACCAGGTACAAAGGACAGATTTCTGGGATAAGTGCTTTTTTTTACACATGACGCTAGACCTCACTGACTCAGTTTCTAGCTCTCCAATTTGTTCCAAGCTAGTTCCAAGCTATGTGAGTTTACTCAAGTAATTCCTGTGCCTCAGTTCCCTCATCTAAAAAATGGGCATTTTGGTACTATCTACCCATTGGATTTGCCATCTGTCTTCTTAGTCTCCATAAATGCATGAGCCAACTCCCCAAATCTATCAATCTATAACTATCTGCTGTTGGTTCTGTTTCTTAGGAGAACACTGAGAAATAAATGCACCCTGGAGTTTTCAATGGTCAAAGCTAATCATGAAGTGGAAATGTACTATGTGACAAGCTCACTATGAGGGATACCTACCACACACAGACTTTGGGCTCCTTAATACCAAGGTGACTTGGGCATATGACTGTGGTGATTTAAAATCTGGAGAGCAATGGTTCCTATGAGTCCCAATAGAGGAAGAAAAGGAAGACTGTTGCTTGAGTCATCCATATTTACCTTTTAACTTTCATGTCTTTCTCCTGTGACTGTCATCACATTGAGTGTAAATTGCTTCAGTCTTGTGAGGTTTTTCTTTAACTAAATATTTACGGAAATTAATATGACTAGCAGTCATTGTGAGTAGTTAGTTTTAAATGATGTCAATAAAATGAGGGAAACAATAATAGCATACCAATGCTTTGAGCCATGAGTTTCCAATATTCCCCAGGAACATAACCTGGATTGAGCTGAATCACTTTTTCAAAGTGGCCTAATATGCTTTATATCATTTAAATAATGTAAGGTTGAAAAACATATATGCCTTTACAACATACTAATGGGGTCTTTATCCATACTATTAGTTCCTACATTCAGGTATAATCATTAAAAGATTAATGAAACAAAGCACATGAGGAAACAAGAAAATGATTCTCTAAACTTGTGGGTAAAGTCATAAGATTTTAACATGCATCTGATCAATATGCAAACGTTGACATATATTTCATGTACATTTCCAGGAAATAAATAAAAACTTAATCTTTAATACTTAAAAAAATAATCTCAATTCAAATCTCAGTTTTAATTTTTCACCACCTCTGGTTTCAAATCTTTAAAGCCGGAGTTCTACATAATCCTTTTAGGCCTGTGCTTAGTAGTTAGAAAAAGTCCAGCTAAACTTGATAATATACCAGATAATATCCCTACTTAAAATACATTTTAACAACCACTAAGTATGGTATGAACAAAAATACAGAAGGACATATATTGTAAAACACCAGTTTAAAAAGTTATCATTAACACAGGACTAGGTTTTGGAGCTTATTTTTGTATTAGTATTTTATGAAGATCTACTATTTTGAATTCAGAGAATTCAAATATTATTTTTGAAAAGTTAAAATTGAGAAAAAGTTTTCTCTTTAAAGGCAGTTAATTAAGATCCTATGTTGTATAATTTTAGTAAATTAAGATCTTGGGCTCAATAATTTGGAAGAAGCCCAGGATCTTAAGCCCATGGGTAGGTTCAGATTTTTGCCAAGAGAGTAGGGAAATAAAGTATATGCATTTTAAAGACAAAAAGTAGACACACTGTAACCTCAAGTTCAAAAAAGTATTTATGAATTATGAGCATTATGAGAAAGAAGAGATCAGAAAAGAGAGGGAGGATAAGGAGGACTTCCTGGAGGGCAAAAGAGTTGCAATATGTTCTTCAAGATATGTAGGTTCTAAACAGGAAACAGTATTTTAAGAAGAAAAAATGGCAAGGAGAAATGTAGAGAAATAATTAATACACAAGTCGTGTCTCAAGGGTGATGACTACATGACTGCACCAGACATGAACAAAGAGAGGCAAGTGAAAAGATCAGGGGATGGAAGATGTTTAACACAACTAAAAAGCTTATATTCTACACAGAATGGAGGGAGGGCTGTTGATGGTTTCTGAAGAGAGATGGATGTGACTGTTGCAGAATTATTAAATTTCTACTACTCAAGTCGTGATTCTTCTAATATTAGAGATAAACAGAAAGTCAATTCCTTTTTCCACAATATCCCTTCATACATTTGAAATCTGCAATGATGTTCTTCCTTTAGGGGTTAATGATTAGGACAGAATGAAAAAGGGAGAAAGTGAAATCAGGAAGACCAGTTAAGAGGCCATATGAAATTTGTACAAGTCTTGAAATAACCAACACAAAATTATATGGCCAATAGTCAAAACAGAAAGGGATGGCTATGAGTTTGTGTCACTATAAACTCTCTTTCAACTAAGAAATGCTCTTACAAGTTGAGTGTCTACCTTATTTATTTAATATTAAAATTTATCTTACAGCCTAATAAACAGCTATACTGATATAGGAATGTGCTGTCTCAAGAACACAAGGTAACCTTCAGGACAATCACATTTACAGATGAGCTCACTCATGAAGCTCAGAGAACATTGCACATATTTTCCTGTATTTTTTCCAAATATTTTACATATTTTTCACAAGACTATGGGTATTCTAGAAACATCAATAAACTGCCTAAATGAATCACTTAGGTTGTATTCCTTAAAACATCTCCTCAGCATCAAATGGTACTTTCCCACTGAAAGGCCCTAAAATTTGATCTGAAATTTGATTTGAAATTCTAATGATGAATCTTTATAGCAATGCTAATTCACGAATATTTTCAGAATGTTTGACAATTTCTTTCTGATAATGATAACACTAAACCACTTTCATAATTATACATACTAAATAATGGTTCCCTAATGTGTTCATTCATAGCAATTTTGAAAAAGGATAAGAAATAAGCAGTGCTTTTAAAAAATTAAGTAACCTATGACCAAATAAAACTTATTCCAACCTTGACCTTACCTGGCTTAGGACTCCTTTCTTATTTGTTTTCCAGACTAGAATTCTGACAACCCAAGAGTCAGGTATAAATTTCAAGGTCTGAAAAAGTGTCCCCTCTGTCCTATTAGGTTGGAAGAGTTATAGTTCATTATGCTTGGTCCTGGCTAATTCTTTAAAACAAATAAGTAGATCTAAAAATGCAGTTAGCTTCAAATCCTATAGCTTACTTGTCTAAATAATACATGACATTGAATATGTTTATAATTACTTCAATTTTAATTTATTGTATAACTGGTTTTGTTAATAGGATTAAGGGACCTAAATTAATATTTATTGAGGCAATAACTAGAAATTCTATCTTCCTAGAAACTCTTGCTGTATTAGCAATAAGGCGTATTAAAATAGCTCAATAATTAACTATATTGATTCAGAGTTTTTAGTATTCAAATAAAAATTTCATTGTAATTGCATATATTTATAAGTAAAACAAGGGGAAACTATTATTCAACAAAATATGAAGTGACCAAATTGTGTACATATGAAGCCACATATTTACCTGACATTGCCCTTGGTGTTTCTGAGAACTGTTGCAGCAAAATTCTGTGTGACACCCACCAAGCTGATTCCATCCACTTCCACAATCTGGTCATTGACTTGTATTCTTTAGAAAAAGGAAAAAATTACCCACAATTAATTTATTTGATAATTGCACTGTCATTCTCATTAAATGAGTTGACAAAATACTTGAATTTAAGAATATTCTTATTGATCCAAAATTTAACTTTTACATACAAGCCCCAGATCTTAGTCAAATGTTTAATGTTTTTTAGAAACTGTTTTGAAAGACAAAAATAAGTAAGACTTAACCAAAGATTCAGTTTACCAAACATCCATATTCCCTTCACAAAAACTGAAAACTGCAAGTGTATGACATATTTACAATAGTTTTTTTGTTCTTAATGAAAGCATATCAGATCAAGCTGAAATACCATTGGACCCAATTCCCAGGATCCATTTCACCTCCCATCTCCAAGTTAACATTATCAGGCATTGCAGGAAATCCTTCCTATTTAAGTTGAATACTTCAAATAAGTAATGTATGTGTGTGCTTACATGTATATACTAATATGTTGCTTATGTATTTACTTATTTTTATTTTTGAGACAAACTGTATTAGTAAAGTTTGGTGCATAATGGTTTTAAATTTGTATGTTTCATATATAATATATATATATATATATATTTTTTTTTTCTTTCTCCTAATGAAATATCTCAAAAATGGAAAAATGGGAATAAGATAATAAATACTCCAATACCCAACTTTATCACATTTTAGCACTCTGCAATATTTAAAGTATATTTAGCCTTTCTACTGATTTTTTTGAAACAGAATAATATGTGTGCATGGTTAGGCACATTATATATGCTTTGTATATTTTTTAAAAAATTATAAAGTATGCCTCTTTTCACAACTGTTTTCTTGACTCAACATTGTATTTGATATTTATCTCTGACTACTATAAATGTAATTCCAACTAATTTGTTTTAACTATACAGTTTATCTTTTATAAATATATCAAATATATTTATCCATTATTTTGTAGATGGAAAATTGTGATATTTTCCATTTTAGCTATATAAATACTATATAATCAGCAATTTTACATATTCCTCATTATACACATATATGAGTTCTCCAGAACATACACCTAGGAGTGAAATTCCTGAGTCAAAGAATATAGTATTTCCAATAATATTAGAAATTGACAAACTACAACCTCACAAATACTTGGTATTTAAATATTGTCATTCATATAGGTAAAGAACATTGAGCAGTTTTGTATTGAGCTAAGCTGTGTTCTTCTGACATTATTTTGACTGTTTTGGTTTTGTTTTTTCAATAGTAGGAATCACACCCAGGGACTTACATCCTAGGCAAGTAGTCTACTACTGAGCTACATCCACAGCCGAAATATCTAGTTTTTAAATACCCTTTTAACCATATTTAATATCTAGTTTCCTAATTCTAATGCTAGTTTCCTAATTCTCTAGGGAGCTTAACAGAATCTTTCATACGTGTTCTTTTTATAAGCCATCGATTTATTTCTTTGTGTATTAGCTTAAATGGATATCACAGTTTTAGAAGAAGCACTGAGATGGCCAAGAGGACTCACAAAGCTAATTAAACTGTGTCACCACAGAAATGCACTTTAAGTTATGTAAACACAGGTGTCATTTTTTTAGTCATCAGTATAATTCTCAAAAAGCAATAGAAATTTTCTTTGCTACCAATCAGGTATGCTGGAAGTTTGCTTGTTTTCTAATTTTGTACTTTTTTATTTTTCTTTTTTCTGATTCTCAGCCATTTTGGTTCTGGATCTGTACCTTCTTACAATATAGAATTTAAAACAAGAAAACAACAACAAAGGAGAAAAGGGTCTATAAAGGATAACCCAGAAAATGTCAAACAAGAGAGCATACTCACTAGAAATAGAAATTCCTATTATGACACTGAAAAAGACAGAGGAAGTAGTCTAAGAAAAGGCCCCTGGATGTCTCAAAGTGGTAGGTCTCTAATTTTGAAAGCAATAAATTGGAACATTAAGAACAAGAAAAAAATACAGAATTTTCTATATGTAAGTTCAGAGTTCCATATTAATTCTGTTTACTGTACTTGCTCATACTTGTGAGAGTGGGGGAGTAGGGAAGAAAGTTCTGTGAGGTCACACAGTGAGGGGAGTTGGTATGACATTTATGGAGATTAGTGCTAAAAAAACAGTCAATAACTTGGTTGTAAAATGTGCAACAGGAACGAAGCAAACAAAATAATTTATTTTAAAAAGAATAAAAGAAATATGGCCAGTAAACATTTGGAAAGGCTCAAAAACAAGAAATTAAAATTTAAAAGTAATAATGTCTTTAATAATTGCCAAATTATTAAAGATTTTTATTTCACAATATTCGGCCTGAATGAGGGGGCAGGAGGCTATTAGACCCTGAGTACAAACTAAACAATCTTTCAAAAGGGCAGATTTGCAATGTATTTCTAAAGTGTTTGAAACGCAATACACCTTGATGTGGTAATTATAGTCCTAGGAATTAGTTCCAAAAAAATAATAAGAAATGTTCATGATGATTTTTATATAAAAATGCTGACCTCACCAATACCTTGCAACAAAATGCTAGTTTTGTTTTCTTCTTCATATTTTGTCACATTTTTCAAAATTTCACCCATGAACTACTATAAAGGTAACATATTTACCTTTATAACTTTAAAATGTCATTTGTACATACTTATTTGACCATTGATAACATTTTACGGTGACTAGGGATATATTCAAAAAGGTTTTCCTTTAGACTGAAATGTTATAGTTCCCTGCTCTTTATAAAATATACATGTGTGTTTAACAACAAAATATTTCATCTAAAGTGTCTGAACTCAATCTATAATTTAAATCAAAGCCCAAAGGGCACATTCTCAATGACAGGGAGAGGGAGAATTATTACATGAGTTGAAGCTGCTATATTTCAACAGGATTTTCACAATGCCTATCATATACAATTAATTTATAATCAGAAAACCAATATTTATAGCATGTTCTAATGTAATGTGTCTGTAAAAAACACTTCTGTTGGTGCACACCCAAGTGACTCAAAACAGAAAAAAACAAGTCTGGAAAAAGTACTGAAAAAGAAAAAAAAAAAAGTTAAAGAATTCATGAGCAACAGTGTTGGTGATTAAATGTTAAAGGAAGTCCTTCGTGCAGTAGGAGCGCAACACTGGGTAGAAATGTACATCTCCACCAAGGATGAAGAGCACGGGAAGTGCTGAGAGGAAAGCCAAGTGCAGGGCACCCAGCAACAGACAACTGGTGTTCAACTAGGTGTCTTCTTTGCATTCAGAGCCAAGTGTGAAAAAGAGGGATCCTATGATTGAAATGCAGATTCTACATAGTTCTTCCTGTCTGCCTCAACACAGAGAGCATTAAGGGAAATAAGAAAGCACAATTCTATTTGATTACTATTTTCTTTACAAGAAAATTTATTTTAAAAAGCTTTTCTCATTTCAAAAGTGATATATTCATTAAAGAAAAATTTAAAATTTGATACACTATTAAAAAACCAAGAAAATAAAAACCACCTTAATTTTATTTTTAGGGCCTGGGGTTGTAGCTCAGCGGTAGAGCATTTGCCTTGTACATGTGAAGCACTGTGTTTGATTCCCAGCGCCACATATAAATAAGCAAATAAAATAAAGAACCATCAACAACTAAAAAAATATTTTAAAAAATTTTATTAAACAATGGGAAGGAAGGGAGGGAGGAGGCGAGGTTTGGGAGTGGCTATTTGAGGGGCATTTTGATTTATCTTTTTATAGTCAGAATGTGTGGTGATTAAAGTGAAGACAAGCTTAAAAAACTAAAAATGAGCACAAGGGGGAGAGGCAAAGACAACTGGAGCTCAGGTTTATTCCACCACAGACTATTGCTACAAACTACTAGATCATGAGCCAGCTAATTATCTTATTTATCAATGATTATCATGGTAGGGAAAGTATCTGACACTCACTCTGTTTGAATCTCTCACCCTGAGAGAGGATAACTTTTAGAGCTTTTTTGTTTTTGATTTTGTTTGGGTACTAGGAATTGAACCCAAGGGCGCTTAACCACGGAGCCATATTCCCCAGCCCTTTTTATTTTTTATTTTGAGTCAGGGTCCTCTAAGTTGTCTAGGTCCTCACTAGGTTGCTGAGACTGGCTTTGAACTACAGATTCTCCTGCCTCAGCCTCCTAGGATTATAGGCATGTGCCATCATGCCTGGCCAAGAGTAACAGTTAGCCACAACCTCACAGATAGTAGCACTAATAAGCTCTCTCAAATCTTGCCTATAATTAAAAGCACACAAAAAAGGGGGTGACTCTTGGTGGTAAAAAATATGTAAACAGATATTTGTATCCCAGAGATATCTAGAGATTATCTGGCCTTTCCAAAAGTTTCCAGAATAGCAGAAGAAACAGCCTGTTTTGCCTGGAAACAATCTCTACTGGAATGCAATGTATGGGAATGTACCTGACTCATTTCAAGCCATCATATCATGGCATTTCCGCCATAATTTTCCTATGCTTTATTCACCAAAAGTGTGCAATAACACTGCTCTTTAGCCTTGGCCTGATATTGCTGAGAATCCTCAATCCTTAACCTAAAAAACCAGAATTAATGGGTATAAAGCTAATGAAAACATATGTTAGGCTCTCTAGGGTTTAATGTTGTTAGATAATTATTTATTGACATGATGTTTCTGGGAAGAGAAAAAACAACTCTACCTCACAGAGCTGTCAACAAAGAACCAGGCATGAATGGCAGGGAGACCAGCTGGAGCAACAGTAATGAACTTTGGTAAACAGAGTTCTTCCCTAAAATGCTAGACAATGAACATTTAAATGTATGAGAAAATACATATCAAGACAGCAATGTCAGGGTGAAAGCAAAAAATTTGACTAGAAGAGTGTGCCCAGAAAGGAAACTTGTTTTGCTTAATAGAAACACCAAAGAGGTCTGAAGAAATCATTAGTGTAAAAAAGTTTCCTGTGTGGAATCATATAATCTACATTAAGGGAAACAAAAACTAATGGTTAGTATATATAATATTATTTTATTAAAAAATTAGAGCTCAAGGAGAAGATGGAAGGGGCTATAATGTCCTTAAGATAAATTACAAGTTACCCTGAGAGAGATAACTTTTAAAAAGAAAGAAAGAAAGAGTAAAATAAATAAATAAATAAATAAATAAATAAATATTAGGCCCAAATAAATGTATCCAAAGTGAATAAAACACAAGATTCACTCATGTAAGAAATATTTTGAGTATTCCCTATGTTTAAGGCCTCATATAAGAAGGTACAGGCATGAAATCTTCACCAAAAAAAAAAAAAAAAAAAGAAAGAAAGAATAAGAGAGATCTAAAATGTTTCAACTACACTGGATGATATGGAAAGTGACTACACAAATTTTTTTTGAAGTACTCAAGAGTGCAGTTAGAGGTTACAAGCCATTTTGAAGGAGTAAAATATTAGAAATATAAAAGTTTATTATATGGAGACAGGAAATAAGAAGGGGGGATACAAATACTATGTATCTATTATAACAATAGCAGGATTAATACACTAAGTAAATACTTATTTAAAAGAACTGAGGAAATGCACACTGAAACTAACAAAGCAAAGGTCTAATGTCAGTATAAACAATGAAACTACACAGAAGAAAACATCAGTAAATAGGTTAACAGAAAACAAACCTAATTTTTTTTAAAAGTCAAAAATAAATATGAATGAATGAAAAAATTTTATCCTTTGTGATTTTAAAACAATTAGTATTTTGGTTTGGAGTTGAAGTCAATTCATTTAAGAGGGGTGGTTCATAACAATTTATAATTGCTTGAATACTAACTATAAAAACTATTTCCTATCACCTAGAAATGCCTTTTAAATTTTTCAACGAAATTAGTACAAACAAGGTAGAGTTTACAAATAAATTATAGCTTACATAGAAGAAAGTTGCTAAATTAATACCTGAAAATACTATTACCATTATGTAACTGATTAAAGGGTCAGAGAGGTTATTTCTTTTACTACTCTGAAAATAAAGACTCTCTAAACTACTTTCAAAGGCAAAATATCCATATTCCACATTAAGTGTGAAACACATGCAGTCCACTGGCCATTCACTCGAAAGATCCACTTCAGACCTTCTCTGTGCAAAGTATTATAATGAGTGCTACGGGAGTACAAACAAGACAACTGACTAAGGTATGGGCCCTAAATACACAGAAAAAAAACAAAGATACAACTTTCTAGTTACATAAATCAATTTAGTATTCCTGGGGAAATATTTCTGTATATCAATATGTGTTTCTAGGATTACAAAAAAAAAAAAAAAAAATACCCTCTGGGTATCAACACAGATTCAAAAATTACTTTCAACATGCTTTATTATTTCTTGGTAGGTAAGATGGCTAAAGCATATAGAAAAATACTGGAAAAAAAATCAAAGCCATTTATTCAATGTTCCTAAAAAATAAGATGGTATTTCTTTGAATTTGGATATCATATTTTGGAGTCTACTTTTATTTCTGTTGCCAAGGTTCTACTTTCAGTTTCAACCCAAAACATCATAAGGTTAGTGTATTAATTGAAATCTTTACAATAAAGATATATGTAGCCTGAGATGATGAAAGATAAAACATTAAAAAATAATGACCTGATGTTATGTTGCACATCAGAACTATCCAAAGAGGATGTGTTAAGTGCACCCTATCAGAGCCCACTACTGGCAATTTTAATTGTACAGGTGTAGGTGGTGCTCAAGAATCTGCATATTTAGGTAGAACATGTTTAGAGAAGCCCCTATCTCCAGAATTATCATCAACGAAGAAGAGTTCCTAATTTCCCTGCCATTTCTATCATTTTCAAAAATGCCAGAACTATTATCATTTGTCTCACTATTTCTGAAGTAAAACCACATGCTCAACTCCATTGTAAATGTTCTTCAGCTATACATGTTTTGATTTTTTTGTCCACTTCTCACTAGACAGATAAATGAATGGCTAGATTCAAAGGGAGACAGATACAGACAGATCCATTCATTTATTGAATATACATTAAAGCATATATTCTGCCTACAAATGAGAAAGTAATTCAAGCATTTTCATATTTTCTACATCTGAGAAACACTCTGAAATTCCATGCTTATGAAACAAAGAAGAAAGATAACACTGAAAGAAATCCCCAGTTTTCTAGGATTTTAAGTCACTAACAACTACAATTAGCTTACCTGCCATCTCGCTGAGCAGCACCACCTTCTGTCACTGTCTTGACAAATATTCCCAGTTTCTCAAGTCCAGCATCTGCTCCAACACCCATTCCAATAATACTGATACCAAGACCATCCTCATCTATAAAAAGAAAAAAGAATGAAGTAACCAAGGTTTTACACTGGTCCAGCTGATATAACTAGTTGGTAAGGCCTATTGCTGCCTCTAGTTTGTTCTTCTTTATGAACAGGACACATGATATTCTTGTATCAGCAGAAATTTTTTATAAGAGGATGAAAAAGATTATCAAATAAGATTCCCCAAAGGGCTCAGGAGTGTCACATCATTTTAAAATTGAGGTTGGTAATTCATTCTGGTCTCAGAAAAGCTAATGATTTTGTTACTGAATAGTCAATCTACCTAAACACAGACTCTACAAATAATCCTTTAAATTATTTAGGCATAAACACACACATACTAAAATGCATGCATAATTTTAAATGAATATGATCCGTAAGATTTGGAATTTCTTCTTTAATCATGTGATCACATTTTCTGTTTGTTTATGCAAAATAAGACAGTATGTGTCTTTGAGTTTTCCATCTGTGCTAACTACACAAGTATATACATTAAACAAAAGTTTAAATATATAAACACACACAGAAGATTTGTTTTTTTCTTCTTTTACATTCCTTTACATAGTCTATTGCAACTTACTTTTAAAAATTCAATGATAACTTATGAATATCAACTTACATAGCTTTAAATCATTTCTAATGATTGTATAATACTTCAGGATAAGATGATATCAAAAATATTAAACCATTTCTCTATTGTCAGGCACTCACCTTTGTTTCAATTTTTTATTTTGTTTTGGCACTATAAGCAACACTGACATTTATTTTATTTTTCATTTACTTAATATTTATATGTTTATTCATGTTTCCATTTTCCCTTTCCAAGAACATATATAGTTCAACACCAGTGAATTAAAAGACACACTATTTTGTACCCTATGTGCTTTGCTTAATAGTCAAGGTTATTTTTTGATAGCCTCAAAGTCTTTGTAATCATGATTTATCAGCAGCATAAAAAACTGATACTAGCTAACCAACAGTGATGGATTATTAAAGGAAAACTAGCCCCACATACTCAATAGGATGCTTGGTGTTTTAAAACAATTTTTAGCAATAACCATTACTATATATTCATAATTACAATTCTTTGAAGAGGATTTATCTCATTGATTATTATATGTTATCTTCTGCCTTAACTATGACTATCACAACCCTACATCTTTATTCTACATACATTCAAAAACAAATCATTTGGCAAAGTGTGATTTGTTTGCTCAGTGGTATTCCACAAGGAATTTTTATGATGTTTTCCCGGGATAGGTTTTTGCATATGAACACCAGCTGAAGGCACTTCCACACTGATTGTAGGTATAGGTATCACTCCAGTGTCAGATCTTTACAACTAACTAATGTCTGAGTGATCACCACTTAGAACGTTTACATACATGTGATTTCTCATATTAATTTCATTGAAATCACTTCTCTGGTTCAAATACTTATTATTTTGCTAAAGATTTCCCTCAGAATAAGTTTTCTTGTGTACATGAAGGTCAGATGTGTGTTGAAGGCTCTTCCACAATGGTTAGTGTTTAAGATTTCTTCTTTCCCATGAGAATTTTCTAGTATATATCAAGGTTAGCTGATGGCTAAATTCTTGTTCAGACTCATCACAGTCATCGAGTTTCTCTAGCATGTGAATTTGTTCCTGCAATGGTTACTGAAAGCCTTCCCACCATGTACACATCCACATGCATAGCCAGTGTATTTCTCCTGTGGTTTAAAGAGATGATCACTGTAGCTCTTCCACACTAAAGGTTTGTTTCCTGAGCTAAATCTCAGTATTAGCATTGTGCTTGAATTCCTCCTCACATTCACTATACTTAGAGGGTTTCTCTTCATTACAACTTGTTAAAACCAATATTATACTTTGATCAAAATGTTCCCATATACATTCAAAAGGCCCTCTCAAATGTCAAATCTCTTACTGTCATGAGAGGAAATTCCAGCAACTATTCTGTGTGAAAATTACTTCTTGGTTTTTAAATCACTTTTCCTGCCTGGACTCAGGCCTCCCTAAAAATTTTTTTTGTTGTCTTTATTCTTTTCTTTGCTTCCATGGTGCTTCTCATTGCTCTAATGAGAAAATCACTCAGATTTTCAAAGCTAAAAATCTAGTAGCAGAAAAGCAAAATTAACTTGAGCCATACTGAATTCCTATAAGAAGGAGGCAATGACTGAGGGTGAAACAAGGAAGAACCCAATGGATGCACAGAGACAGGTGACTGATGTTCCCGAGCATCTCATCTCTTCTCTGTTCAGAGGGAGATGGATGGAATTCAGAACTACATGTTTGAAGGCCACTGATTCCTGGGGCTGCACTGTCAAGAAGCAAGCAGTCCCTGTATCCTCCTCTATCTACATTCCTAGGGACAGGCAAAGGCTCTAAATGGGTAAAGAGCCAACAAGGATGTGGAAGACAGTGAGGCTATGCTACCATGGAAGATGCTATCACCACACTGCTCAACACTGACTTTCTCTCTCAGGTAAGAAGCCTATGTTGTACAACATTTCCCTCATAGTGATGAGAGTGTAAAGCAGTGTAGATCATTTTAGATTTCCTCTTATGAAAAGTACCACTTTTTTCTATTGAATTTTACCTGTCTCTCTTGTCCTGATAATTTTCAGAGGTTCTTAGCATATTGTAGACATTGGTTTTGTCATCTACAATGAGGGCAATTTATCACCTGCTTAATTTTGTTTGAGATAATTACCTTTAAAAGCTAAAAATCTAGACAATTAAATTGATTCATCTTTTCTAACTTTGGGTTTCCCTTCTGGGTTAAGGTCATCCTCCCACCAGCCAAGCTGATAAATGGAATTTTATAAAAATTTCTTCAAATATCAATAACTTTTAAAATTTAATTATTTAATCTATGTAGGTTTTTTAAATATGATATAATGCAGGCTCCAACTTTATATTCATCCAGATAGATGCTCAGTTATGCTAGAAAAATTTATAAAATGTGCTATTACCTATAAGATGTGTGCCATACTAAATATTTCTGCAGACTAATATCTTTCTCTAGATCTTCTATTTTGTCGCACCAATTCAATGTTATATAAATATAATTTGTTCTCATTACAGAAGCTTTAACATTATGTTCAGATATTTGGTAAATTAAGCCCTTTGTATTATTTCCTTTTTCCCTTACATCTATAATTTCTCATATAAAATTAAAGATTGTCCTACACAATCCCTTCTAGTAACTCAACGTTGTTGGCAGTTCTATTTGAACAATACTAAATGTATATCTTAATTTATGAACATGCTTCTAAACTGAGTTTTCCCATCCAAGAACATAGTATAACTTTTAACTAGCTTAAATCTAATGTTTTTTCAAAGAAAAAATATTATTTTCTATAGATAAATCCTATTTCTTAGTAATGAATTTAATAAGTATTTTGTTGTTTGGGTGCTATTATAAATGAAACATTTTTTCCCATTTCTACTTCTAGTTCTTACTGTGAATACAGAGGAAAAAAACTTAAGTTTTATAGGCATCTTGAATCTGACTTTCTCCTTTACAAATTATCTTACCAATTCTAATATTTTTAAATTGAATTAATTTGGTTTCCAAGGTGGACATAGATATCATTATACATTGTGTTAGTGTTCCACAAAGGCCCATGTATTAAAGGCTTTCTTCAGCTTGGGAGTGAGGCCTAGTGGAAGGAAGAGAGCCCACTCAGGGTACACCCTTTAGTGGGATCCTGGAACTCCATCCCTTTCTATTTTTTACATCATGGCTGTCATGATGAGCAAGTCCCTCCATCGCTTATTCCCTCCATAATATACTGCCTCACTACAGACTCAAAAGCAATGGTGCCAACTGATCATGGCCAAAAACATGAGCCAAAAATAAACTGTTCTTCTTTTAAGGTTTATTACCTCAGGAATTGTATTATAGTAACAGAAAGCTAACACAGATAGGGTTATAGATATATCAGCAAAAGGAGGTATTTCATTATGTATTTTCTTTTCTTAGACTGATCATTTCATGCAAAGGACATTGCCTCCCAGTTTTAACTGAAATATTTATAGTGTTTCCTCAATTTAAAAATATAATTCTTTATGATCTATATTTTGTATAATATTCAGGAATAGAGTATTTAATTTGAAATAACTAAACATTATCAAATATCTCTTAACCTTGACTACAGACTTTTTCCTTTCAATTTTATGTGGATAAATTTCCTAATAATGAACTACTCTATATCCTCCTATCTAAAATCCTGTTTAGTCTTAATGCATTTTTTTCTTTAAATATTTCTGTATTTAGTATTTTATTTCATTTAGAATTTTAAAACATATATTTATACTGAGTTGTCCTATAGTCATTTTTGTAGCATTTTTGTAGCATTATTAACTTTTAGTGTAAACTAAAAATTTATGTTATCTTTTTTTTTTCTTTTCAGCCTTTTTGTTTTTTGAGATAGGGTTTTGCTAAGTTCTTAGGACTTTGCTAAATTTCTGAGGCTGGTCTTGAACTTGAACTTGTGATCCTCCTGCCTCAGCCTCCTGAGTCACTGGGATTACAGGCTTGTACCACTGTGCCTGGCTCCATGTATCCTTGAAAGAATTTTCCTTCATTTTCTATGATATAAAATAGTCTCACACAGGTTTGTATAGCCTTTAAACTCATCTGGTTCTGATGAGTTTTTAATATTTTATCTGTAGTCATCATTCTAATTTATTCTATGGCAATTTGTCTAACTTGAATTGATTTTAGTAACTCCTATTTTGCTAGGAAGTAATAAATTACTTCTAGGTATTCATCATTTTTGTCAAAGAAATTTAGTGAAAAAATATTTCAACCCTTCATAATCCTGACTGAAGAATACTGAAAGCAAAAATATAGAAATTATAAATATAGTTTTTTTTAAATATATAAATATAGGTTTTTTAAATAATCCATTCCATGATGGTTTGGAACAATAGTTCTAATTTTTTATTTGATCAAACATCTACCTTGAAATTCTCATGATATTAAAGGGGTTTAAAATTTTTTTTAAGGGAAAAGAGTTTTTTTTCTTTTGAAGACAGCTTTAAATTGAGTTGATTATATTAATCCACTCCTCAATATCTTTGTTTTCTGTCTACAGATCTCTCTAGTTCTGAAAGTGCATTAAACTCTCTGATAATTGTATTGCATTTTGTTATCTTCTATTTTAATTTTTAGTATGAAATATAGCATATATACAAGAGCTTATGAAAACATTTGTCTACAAAACATTATATTTGAGGAACAAAAATAACTAAACAGCCACTTACTAACAAATACACAGAATGTTACCAACACGCAATAATCATCTATGTACCCTTCCCTGACACTGTAATTCTTTCCTTATTCCTAAACATTATGTTAATCATTTCTCCTTTTCAAAATACTTAAGAAAAAACACTGTGTGCCTATCCCTAAATAATAAGCTGTTCAACTTTTCCTAGTTTTGAAAATTAAATAAATGGAATTATAATTGCATGACCTCTTCTCTCAATTGCTTTTTAAATTTTCTCACAACTTCATGTTTGCAAAAATCACACATTCTGCTACATGTAAACTGTGTGGTTCATTCATTTTCACTGCTGAGTAATATTTTATTAACTAAATATGTTACAATTTATAGGCAATTTCTACCACTGATGAACATTTGAATTGTTCTCATTTTGGCTTTTATTAGCAATACAAAACACACAGTCAATTCTAGCTGTTATAATGCTTTCCACAATTTTAAATCTATAAAAAAATGTAGGCATCACTCTTTAATTCACTTTAACCCCAAATGAAAGTTTCTTAATGGGAATAATCAATCATGCACAGTATAATGACTAATGCTCTCATTTATATTTTCTCCATCTGGACACTTCTGTATTTAATATTCACATAGTTTTCACCTCTATTTTTCCTCCCTTTACTGTTTTAAACAAGTTTCTTTGCCTCCCTAGTAATTGGGAAGTATATTACACAGATAAAGAATGTACTTGATGTATTCTTTAAATCCTTACATGTCAGCACATTTCTTTCTTTCACCAGAATAAGCAACTGCTCTCTGGGATGGGGAGGGGATACTATCATCCTTCTTATTCATAGTGGCCTATGAAATTATACCTCCATCTCCCTGTTCCTATAGTTGAAAATAAATCTGACACTAATATAAACATCTTGCCCATCAAATCCTTTTGCTGATTTGTTTACTTTGGAGTTTTTAAGTCTGGTATTTTATATTTTTTAAGTTATCTTTGAATACTAGGATTTTCCCAGCCTATGCCTAAGTGTGGGGTCAGTTTGGGTTTTTGTTTTTGTGTAAGTCTTCTCATTCACAACTAAATAAGTGCTTTCTAACAGGAAGTTCAGGTCTTTTTTCTTTTATTCCAAGAAATTTTTTTTTTCTAGTCCAAAAAAACTTTCTTCTATTACTATTTGTCTCTCCTCCTCCATTGTCTTTTCCCCTTCTGTTGCCTATAATTTACATACTGGTGCTGATTTTTCTTGGATATTTACTCTGTCATTTGAGAATTAGTTTGGAACATCTCTTAATTAATACTATAAATAAATACTAAAATTTTAATGAATATTCTTTCTTGGTTATTCAAGTTATCATCTATTCATTCTTTTTTTTCCAAAGCCTTGTGAGATTTGTTAATTTAATGTTCACTGGATGACAGTCCAGTTCCTGGGTACACATATTATATGATGATAAATGAGGCAGTCTCTGGTATCATGAGTCAACAGTTAATACATGAGGGAAGCTGTCCTTTCAGGGAGAGAAATCAGGATGAGGCCCCTTTGTTCTTTCTCCTTACTCCCCTCAAAGACAGGGAAGATAAACAACCTTACCATTTAAATCTTTCTGAATCCTATTGCCTTCGATCCAAAATGTCTATAATTTTCCAAAGGCATTTCCCATTCACATTCTGACCCTAACCATAACTACTCTCTCTCCACCAAAAATAGCACCTACTCTCCCCACTCTCACTTAAAGATCTTTCTCTGGGCTCTCTCCTGCACCAGTTCTTTCTAGAAATACAGACAAAGCCTAGGCCTCACTCATTCCTCCCTCCATCTCAACCACCATCCCAAACAGCTACAGAGGATGGATTTCAATTGGCAGTAGGAGGTAGGGAGTCTTTCAATCCAATCAACTATTAGAATCCATATCAACTATTTTTGAAACAATAAATAGATCTTCTGTGAGAATTAAAACTTTATTCAATCCTTAAAAAAAGACTACACTTTGTAAAACCAATCCTATATTATTAGCACAGCCACATAATGATGTTGTGAACATTGTAGCACTCATGTACCTTTCTCTAGTTCCACTGGGAAAAGTTCCAGCTTCTCTACACGCTTTTCAAGTTCATACTCAGCAGATGCGGCCACGGGGTCAACTTCATCATTTCTCCTGTCATAGTCTTCATTGGAGTATGTGTTAAAAACCTATAGCAAGAAATCAAAACCAAAATGTTAATACAGAAAAGATGGCTTTCTAAATTTTTTTTTTAAATGGCTGGATAAAACTACAAAATTTTTAAAAGAAAACAGGGTGGTGTATCTTCTTAATAATTTTCTGTTTTTAAAATTAATTGCAATGTTAGGAAAAGAAAAACTAAATCAGAATAAAGATAACTTACTAATTTAAAAATATGTATGAATAATTTTATCAATTTTAATAATTTCAGAGTCAACATCTCTATATAATACATTACTTGAAAAACAGTATCCATCACCTTTTATATAATCAGAATATACCATCTAACTGCAATATGCCATTGTAAACCAAGTTTAGAACATATTGAAGCAACCCAAGCAACTACCATCCTATACCTTTCTTATGGAATGACCTCTACTAGCCCTAGCAGTGTAGATCATCAATACTATGGAACCACTGAACCTGATTTCTAACATATACTGTCTTGGGTTGTGTTAAACTATTCTTATCTGACATCTCTCATTTTATTTGTACATAAATTTAAATCAAAATTTCATAGGACATTTCAAGAGATTGCTTAAAAGTTTTAGAATAAATAAGATATTGGTAAATCTTTATGTTTAACCTAAATCATTCAAAAGAGTACTAAGTGTGGCCTTCAGATATTGCTATAGAGATCATCCTTATTTCAGTTGAAGTATTTATTTTATTTGAAAAGAAACTGGACTGGTTATCAAATCACTCTCTCGATAACACTGAAGAGTATTTACAAGAAATATATAAGTCATCAAGTGTAATCAATATATATAATAAAACTGACATTTTCAATTAAATTCAACAATTATTAAGCATCTAAATGGTGCCTGGAAAAGCTTCATGAGTGCCCCGCAAAATCTTAAAATCTAGGTGTGAATAGAACATATGGTGGTCCTGTGGTACACACCTATAATTCTAGTGGCCCCAGAGGCTGAGGCAGGAGGATACCAAGTTCAAAGCCAGCCTCAGTAACTTGGCAAGACCCTAACCAACTTAGGGAGACCCTGTCTCAAAATTTAAAAAAACAAAAATGGCTAGAGATGTGACACAGTGGTTAAGTATCCCTGCGTTCAATTCTCAGTACCAAAATAAATAAATAAATAGATATATGTTTTTTAAAGGTTGGGATTGTGGCTCAGTGGTTAAGTGCTCCTGGGTTCAATCTCTGATACAATGAAAATGCAGAATAAAAAGTCAGAAATGAAAGAAAACATACTTATTGCCACTCAAACTGATAGGTCCAGCTTTACATGTGCAACTGGAAAACTAGCAATTTTTAAATTTTTTATATGGTAACCTGTAAGCCAATAATACATATTACCTATAGAGAAGCAGCTGCAATGTACTTTCTAATGGTACATACCTTCTCAAAATTGTGTCCTTGGAGGGTTTGTACCTGAGTGGACACTGTTTTTCTTACTGACTTTCAACATGATTTCATAGCCTCACACACTTGGATCTTCACTTAATCTAACAAATCTTCACCTATAGTAAACATTACTATATCAAAATGCATATCTCTAAACTGAAGTTTATACTTTTATTTATCTGATTAGAAAATATGCTTCCAACACCTATTCCATAGAAACCTCTAATACTGTTAGACTTGCGACTTCCCCATACCCTTTTTTATCTTTCACTTTATAATTTTTTGTAAGCACATATTCAAATTTATTCATTCAACAAAAATGTACAGATTACCAATTCTATGCCAGCTATTCTGCTAGATATTGGTGAAGGCACAGTCTCAATCACCTCATAGTTTATGATGGACACAGAAATAAAAATAAACAATTATAGTACAATGTGATAACTGTTTTAACAGAAGAATGTATCAAGTAATTTTTTGCCTTAGAAAAGAATCTTGTGGAGGGGAGGGTGTTTGTTTTGAACCTCAAAGAACAGAAAGGGATTTACATATTCAAATGCAGAAGAGGAGGAATGTGAATTTCAAATATAAGATCCTACACCACAAAAGAAAAAAAATAGGTAGATAGATAGAAGGTATTTGGGGGAAAAAAAATTGATAGTTGAGTGGATGGACCACAATACAACACACCCAACAAAGTAAACTTCAACTGTACATACCATTATAGTTTAGATATGAGGTGTCCCCCAAAAGTTCATGCGTAAGACAATGAAAGAAAGTCTGGGGATGAAATGGCTAGGTTATGAGAGCTTTAACCTAATCAGTGCATTAATCCACTGATAAGAATTAACTAGTTGATATCTATAGGCAGGAATACCTAGGGTCTTACAAGCCCGGGAAATCAGTGGCACATACAACTGGAAATTACTTCATTAACGTTTGCTACTCATCTACTTCAGCTAATAGGTCCAAATATATGACTACAATACAATAATTTAAAAGATATTCACTCTTAATATTTACTAGAACATAGTGAGTAAATAAATGTATGTGTGTGTGTGTGTGTTTGTAAGAGACTGAGAGAGAGAGAGAGAGATATTGTATGTGTGCATGTGAGAGAACTGCTTTAAATAAATGAACACTTTCCTTTTTTTCAGAGTCCTAAACATTGTTATCAAAATGTTCTCCCTCAATTAGGCTAGTTTATAAAGTTCATTTTTAGATATCCTGAAATTAAAGAAAAAATTATAAGACTCCATATTGGAAAATGATAATTTGTTCGGGCATCAAGCAATCAGATGACTATACCAACATTCCATTCTGTAGAAAACAAATAACCTAAGATACCTTTCTATCTTTGGCTTGCTTATGTAAGCATGTGGAAAAAGAAGCCATAAATAATTGAAAAGGAAAAGTCAGAAATTCATTATTTTCAGGTTACAATATTATTTTTACTTGGAAAATCTTAGAAATTCAATAGAAAAAAATATTACAACTAATAAGAGTTCAGTAAAGCAATGTTCATTTTAAATGAACCAATATATAAAAACATCAATAAATCAAAAAATAAACCGTAAAATACTCAGCTATAAGTGTACAAAGATTTCCTTCTAAATAAAAATTTAACTGAGAACACAAGAAGCTGTAAGTTTAATGTCATATTATTCCTAAATTAAAATTTTGAATATTATAAAGATATCCATGCACCTGAATCTCTGCAAATGTCAGTCTATACCAATTTAATTGATGAATTCAGGGCAATCAAAATTAAAAACCCAACCATACTTTTGAGAGAAACTAATAGGCTATTTGAAAATGAACAGTAAGGATGGAAACGAGCCTTACTGCCTTACTGGGTATCAAAATATACAATAAAACTGCATTAATTAAGACAATATAGTTTTGGCCCTAAGGCAGATTTATTTTTATCCTCTATTCTGTTTCACTGTTTTCTTTTTCCTCTTCAAATTAGTTACAGTGGTCATTTAATAAACAGTATGGAAAGAATTAGATATCCATCTGAAGAATATTCCTATTTCATGTCATAAATTAAAATAGAATTCAGATGAGCTAAGAATAAAAATGTACACATTTGTCCCTCAGTATCAGTGTAGTGAGGGGTTGATTCAAGGACCTCTCATTCCCCATGGATACAAAATCTGCAGCTGCTGAAGCCCCTCACATAAAATTGCATGCTTTCATATAACCTACATACATATATACTCCATTCATATACTCTGAATCATCTCTAGATTAATTATAATAACCAATACAATATAGGTAATACATAAAAAGCTCTTATACTGTATTGTTTAGATAATAATGGTAAGGAAAATGATCTATATATGTTCCTTTTTTCTTTCTGGATATTTTCAATGTGTAACTGGTTGAATCTATAAATATAGAACCCACAGAGAACCATCTATATATACTTTAAGAGACCTATAACAAAAATGGGGCAATGTTTCATACATTAGAGAGAGATTCACAGATACTACAAGTTCTAAAGGAAATGAATAAACTATCTGGTTAAAACTCAGTGCTAAGCAATTGGAGGTTTAGCTGAACAGTGGAGCCCTCACCTAGAATGCATGAGACCCTAGATTCAATCCCTAGCACTGCAAAAAAATAATATAAATAAAAATTAATGCTAAAAACTTCTAGAGAGCAAAATATCTATAATGACAATATAAGAAAAGTCACAAATTAGGAGAGAATATTAATATATAAAGGGCTTTCTCAACTCAACTAATTTTGCATGTATGAGTAGAGAAAGGAAATTAACTGCGAATTCAACAAAGAAATACTAATGCCTAGTAAAACACACAATGATGCTCAAGTTCATTAAATATTAAGCAAACGCAAATTAAAACAAGGAGACACTATGTATTCATCCATAAGAATGGTTTTTAAAAAAACACTGCAATATCCAGTGTTTGTGGGGATATAAGAAAAACATTTTAGCCACTTAAAAACAGACCAAAAAAAAAGCATGATTTGAAAACAGTAACCAACATTTTAAATGTAAAAGCCTTTGAGCTAATGTTACCTCTAAGTATTTAGAGAAATACCTGTATATGTGTAAAGATATATGTAAAAGGAAGTTCATTATAGCACTATTTTTAATATCCCAGAGTGGAAAATTACCTAAATGTTAATCAATAAAGAAACTGGCTTGCAAAATTATAACATATACAATCAGGCAGGTAATGCACATCTATAATTCCAGTTACTTGGGAGGCTGAGGCAGCAGGATGACAAGTTTGACATGAATTACTTATAATACAGATATCATTAAACCAAAAGAGCACATTGCAGATAAAGATATTTCCAATTTCTATAACCCAACCCAATTCATACAATATGAATTTTAAGCTAACTTTGAACCTTCTAAATTTCTTAGCTCAAAATCAACTTGGCTTTTGCCACATCATAAAGTTAGGAAAAGTCTCAGCTTCCTTACATACAAAATGACTGTTACAATAATAATTTTACCCTATAAAATAGTTGTGAAAGTGAAATGGTATAATCCATATAATTGTGTTTGGTTCAATATAGGAAGAGAAATAATCCTCCAGGGTAATAAATAATACAATATTTCCC